AGCTGGGTAGATCTCGACAGCATTGTCGGGATCCGTCCCGGCTGAGGCCGTCTCAGAATACCACGAGCTGTAGCTTGCAAAATACTGAGCTTTGGGTCACAGGAGGGCGCTAGTATATGTCCTCCCATGACCCTTAAGAAAACTATGGGGAAAAACACTTACCCCATCATTCTCTTTTAAAGCCTGTTGCCCCTGCAGCACATATGTTTTCTTTACTTACCTGGTTTGCCATTTTAGCTGCTGGGGGTGAAAAAATCCCCCTTTACTTCCAGGCATGCAGGAGCATGTGAATGACCTAAGGGTCTATGCAGGGCCCCTTCATCGGGTTGGTCACTGTCAACCTGATGAAGGGGCTCTGCTTAATCCCCAAAAACTTGTTTGCAACATTATGTGACAGTATAATAAAGCACAAAACAAGAAGCTTTCATGTGTGTGGCGGTGATCAACTCATCTTCACTCTGATGTTTGCAAGGCAGCATCCGCGATATGATTACAAGCACCACCATCTCTCCAAGGTTGCGATAGGCTGTACGGAGTGCAGGTGATATTTGACAACATTGTGACTTAAGGGGCCATTGCCTAAAACAACAGTGATAGAGAGGGCAAAACCGGGAGTTACAATTTACCAAATTTTCCACTGGAATTTTGAAGCTACATTCAGCAAGTGATGGGTAGGGGAAGCAAATGCAAGAGATGTTGAGAAGAGTCAGAAGAACCTTTAGGAAATATGAGCAGACTCTATGTTGCCTGCAACAGCGCATCCAGGCAAAGATTGTTACTAAAATAAACACATGAAACAAAAGGGTGCTATCATTTACATGTGCCTAAGGAAGCATAATGTCAACATACAACCCAATGCAGGTGGAGCCATAGGTTGTGGAGGATGAGCCACATAAAAAAAAAAAAACATATGCTGCATTGTTTATTTACTGAACTGCTCTTCACACTGGGCAAGATCCAATTGACTTTCTCTCCATTCTGTACCAGCACTCTCCATGAGCTCTGATAGCTGGCAAGTGGTATAACAATAGCCATAGCAGCCCACACAGCTGCTATGGGGCCTGGAGGTGGAAGGGGAGCCCATTAGAGAGGCTGTTGAGGCAATTTAAAGATAGAAAATATGTTTGCATATGAGGATAACACAAATCCAATACTGTATTATTATTATTATTATTAGGAATGCACCAATACCGCACACCTGCACAGCCCACCTGAAAGTCCACACAGCCCATCATAGACCGCACATAGCTCACATGAGAGTTTGTACAGCCACCATAGAATCTACACAGCCCACCTGAAAGTCTGCACAGTCTACCATAGAACCTGCACATCCCACCTGAGAGCCCGCACAGCCCATCATAGACCGCACATAGCTCACCTGAGAGTCCGCACAGCCCATCATAGACCCCCGCATGACCTCCTGAGACCCCCACACAGATCTCTAAGACCCTACACAGCCCTCCTGAGACCCCCACACAGCCACATGAGATCCACCGCTGGAGACATCAGGCGAGCAGCACAGAGTATGTAGCTTCATATTATTCTGCATTGCTGTATAATGTATTGCTGGGATTTGTAGTCCTCTATATCCGGTGCCATTCTGCATTGCTGTATAATATATCACTGGGATTTGTAGTTTTCTATAGCTGGTGGTATTCTGCATTGTTGTATAATGTATTGCTGAGATTTGTAGTCTTGCTACAGCTTGGGGGATTGTAAAGGCTGAGGTGGACAATGACCCTGCACTCTCTGTGATGTTTCCAGGCAACAAAAGCTGAGGTTAGACACACCAGAGGAGACATCAGACTCACTGTCCCTAGTCACAAATCCCCTTTGCAAGACTGTGCAATAACAAGAATTTGTTTAGCTGGTTTTGTAGCGCAGATTCATTGTCCTTAGAGCTTCTGTTCATCCTGGCCAGCACTGAAATTAACCCTGTATGCCTAACATAGTCTTCCTCAGTCCTAAGATGCCCAAGCAGCTGCACACCGATGAGGTCACTCCATAAAAAGATCTTTATTGGGCTTCCAGACCCTGATCTACCCACTCTAATGCATTTCACCGTACGGGGGCTTAATTGTAATCTACAATGAAGTCCCTGTAGCATGAAACCCATTAGAGTGGGTAGTACTGCAGGTGGAACTGCGCAGCATGTCTTGAAACCTAATCGAGATGTTTCTATGAAGTGACCTTATTGGTGTGAAGCTGCTTTGGGCATCTCGTGACTAAACTGTTTGGAGTAGGCACACGCTCCCTCGGCAAGCAAGCATCTGCAAACGACGACCGATCTGTGGGAGGGAGCTGCCTTGTTCTTCATTGTCTATTTCTGTTTTTTGCTTGCTGTGGCAGTAGATGAGGTTGAAGAATTTACACTGAGGCCCTGGAATCTGAGATGGTGGAAAAAGACCGGAGAGCTACTGAGGACAGAGCAGTTAGCTGGAAAATTAATGTTAAAAGTTAATTTCCTGCTTTGGTGCTCCCTTCATCTCTGACAACTTCTATCCACAGCACCGGTCCTTAGTAATGCACTGACCATGCTGACAGCTCTCCTGCTACCTGTCCATGTTTTAGATACACTTCATGCTGTTATTGTTGGAAATGCAAGAGCACTTCTAACCGTAATCAGTGACAGTAGGGAGGTGGCGGGAGAGGGGGTCATAGTATGACTATGGTAGTTGAATATGATGCGCTGCCTGCTGCAACCTCTCTATGGTTGTGGATAATAACAGTTAAATTGGGAGTTAAATACATTGATTACCATTTCAGCATAAGCGTAAACAGTCGCCGTCTTTCCTGCAAACATCTACCTGAGCTTGTTTATCAGAGAGGTGAAGAAATTCTGTGACCTATAGAATAAGTCAACAGCTATAATATATGCTGAATGTATGCCTGTATCCCCTGAGCCCACGCTTTATACATCTCGCCTTTGTAGGGCTTCACAATACAATGAAATATTTTTTTTTCATTCACGTGTGCATACATTATACAGTGCCGGGCTAAAGACTAGAAATCCCAAGTCATATGAAATGTTTTGTTGTTTTGTTTCCCAGTCTGTCGATTTCAGCAAATAAATAGTAATTATTCTTAGGCATTGCAAGACTAAGGGGATGTATTTATAAAACAGTCACAGAGCCATTCATTCTGCAAAACTATATGTACATTCATTCTGTGCGAATGGAGCAAAAACGGATGTCTTTGTCGAATGTATTATCAGAAGATTCCACCTTATGGCCACTAGATGGAGCAGAGAATGATAGGGAATATGTATGTATTTGCTTTGATCCTTGGCTCCATCTAGTGGCCATTATGAGGTATTTTCCTCTTTTTCTCTAACCTTATGAATTACCTTTGACCTGGAGAGAAAATATACTAATACCATTTGTTTTTGTCTTTCCTCGCTCTCTCTCCTGGCTGTCTCTCCTCACTCTCTCCCCTGGCTGTCTCTCTCTGCTCTCTCCTGGCTGTCTCTTCTGGCTGTCACTCCTCACTGTCCCCTGGCTGTCTCTCTTTGCTCTCTCCTGGCTGTCTCTCCTCGCTTTCTCTCCTCGCTCTCTCTCCTGCCTGTCTATGCTTGTTCTTTCTCCTAGCTGTCTCTCCTATCTCTCTCCTGGCTGCCTCTCCTGGCTGTCTCTGCTCGGTCTCTCTCCGCTGGCTGTCTCTCTTTGCTCTTTCCCTGGCTGTTTCTACTCTCTCTCTCCTAGTTGTCGCTCTTCTCTCTCCCTCCCTTGGCTCTTCATCTTTCTCTCCTGGCTGTCTCTCCTCGCTCTCCTGGTTGTCTCCCCTCGCTCTCCTGGCTGTCTCTACTCGCTCTTTCTGCTGGCTGTCTCTTCTTACTCTCTCCTGTATATCCCCCCCACCCCCAAAATAAAAGAAAAATGCTGCATGGCACTAGAGTGTTTAGGGTTTGCTTAAAAAAAAGGTGACAACCCTACCTGGACTGAAATAACGTATTCTGATTTCACTGCACACTGTGAGCTTCTCAAAATATGCATTAGAAGCTGCGGCAAATCAGATAGAGCCTGTCTCATTTACTGGCTGAAAGATGTCCAGCATCATCTAGCACTTTTCTCTTCAGCCTGACTGTCCGTGGCCTTCCCCTTTCATTCAGTAAGGCAGAGAATCACATATGGCGGTCTCTATGCAATCGCAATCTGCCTAAGAACACCCACTTCTCAAGACTGACACTTGCATATCAACGTGTTTGATATTTGCATAACCATTCCCAAGAGCGGTCCACTGCTTGCATTAGGACTGAGGGCTCTTGAGAGCAGTTCTGAGGCAGGGTCCTGTGATGTTTTCAGGAAGCTAAGTACAGCACCCTGCTGGCTTCTCCCACCAGCCACGATCTGCCTGCATTGCACAGAGCACAGAGACCCAGTAAACACATCACAGAGTCTACAATAAGGTATGTAATTAAACTGGAAAGGTTTTATTTAAAAGTTTAATTAGCATGTTGGGGGGGGGGGGGGGCGGGGGA